CGCAACGCACAGTCAACTTGTGGAACTCCTTACCTGAGAAGGTTGTGAAGGCTAGGACTATAACAGCGTTTAAGAGAGAACTGGATAAATTCAAGGTGGTTAAGTCCATTAATGGCTATTAGCCAGGATGGGTAAGGAATGGTGTCCCTAGCCTCTGTTTGTCAGAGAGAGATCACTTGATCATTGCCTGTTGGTCCACTCCCTCTGGGGCACCTGGCATTGGCCACTGTCTGTAGACAGGATACTGGGCTAGATGGACCTTTGGTCTGACCCAGTACAGCCGTTCTTATGTGATGTTCTAAAAAGTCAGTGGGGCCACTGGATCGAGGTGCTAAAGGGGCACTCAAGGGAGACAGGGTCATTGCAGAAAAGCTAAAAGAATTCTTAGCGCTGGTCTTCAGGGAGAGAATATGAGGGAGATCCCTACATCTGAGCCATTTTTTTTTTAAAAGGTGACATAGCTGAGGAACTCTCCCAGAATGAGGCATCAATGGTTCTAAAACAAGGTTTTAGAACAAACTAATAAATTAAACAATAAGAAGTTATCAGGAAACTGCTATACACAAGATTTCTGAAGGAGTTTAAATATGAAAGAGCAAAAACTACTAACTGTGGTATGAAGCAACAAAGAGTCCTGTGGAACCTTAAAGACTAACAGATGTATTGGAGCATAAGCTTTCGTGGGTGAATATCCACTGAATGTCATGTCATGTGTCTGACGAAGTGGGTATTCACCCACGAAAGCTTATGCTGCAATACATCTGTTAGTCTTTAAGGTGCCACGGGACTCTTTGTTGCTTTTTACAGATCCAGACTAACACGGCTACCCCTCTGATACCTAACTGTGGTATATAACCTATCACTTAAATCAGCCTCTGTATCAGACGATTAGAGGAGAGCTACTGTAACAGTGATTTTTAAAAATGCCTCTAGATGGGATCCTTGCAATTACAGGCCGGTAAGCCTACCTTCAGTATCAAGCAAACTGGTTGAAACTATAGGAAACACAGATGAACAAGATATGTTGGGGAAGCGTCCATACAGCTTTTGTGAAGTGAAATCATTCTGTACCAATCTACTAGGACCAGAACTGTTCAACATATTCATAAATTATATGGAAAAATGGGATTAACAATGAGGTGGCAAATTTTGCAGACAATACTAAATTATTCAAGATAGTTAAGTCCAA